GAGGTAAGTAAGAAAGTAGAACAGAAGCTCTACAGAAGTATGATTAGTTTCCTCCTTTATTTAATTGCTTCAAGATCTGATATTTTCTATAGCATTTTCCTATGTGCTAGATTCCAACCAGATCCCAGAGAATCTCACTTAACAACATTTAAGCGAATTTTCAGGTATTCAAAAGGTACTACTAATCTTGGTTTGTGTTATAGAAAATCTAGAGAATATAAATTAGTAGGATATTGTGATGGGGAATTTGCTGGAGATAGAATAGAAAGAAAAAGTACTTCTAGAAGCTTCCAGTTTCTGGGAGACAACTTAATATCCTGGTCCAGCAAAAGACAACCCAACATTGCACTATCAACTGCTAAAGCTGAATATATAGCTGCATTTGGATGCAATACTAAGATGCTCGAGATGAAAAGTCAGCTTGAAGATTATCATATCTACGAGAGTAACATTCATACCCTTTCTGATAATACTTCTGCTATTTTTCTTTCTAAAAATCCTATTTTACACTCTAGAGCTAAACATATAGAAATTAAACATCATTTCATTAGGGACTATACTCAGAAAGGGATTCTTTTCATAAAATTTATAGACACGGACCATCAATAGACTGACATTTTTACAAAACCCCTTGCTGAAGATAGATTTAATTTTATTCTTAAACATCTCAGTATGGAATTATGTCCAGAATGAAAATGTAATTTCTATATATTTAACCCTCATAATGTTCTGATTTTTTTGTGAACATCTGAGCAATAGTTCTTCAGAATAGAAAAGGAAAATTGACTCAGAAACTATCTAGAAGATCTGAACGTATAACCAAAACATTTCATTTTAAGATAGTATCATGCAGTTCACCATATCAACATCTGCCATTCTTAAACGTTAAGTCATCACCAGAGAAGGAACACGTGTTCACACTCTGATTGATCAAGGTTGACTTGATGCTTTGAGGCACGAGTCATCGGTAACTGTTTCAAATATCTTCACGCTATCTCCTTCGTCATAAATCATTTATTGGTTTTAATCATTATGTTTATTTTTTTAGTTGTAACTAGATTCATGTTTCTTTTCTTTCCATTGGATATTTATGCATCTCTCTCATAATCACCTTTCACAATAACTCTCACACATTATTTGTTTCCTCTGAACTTATTTTTCTCCTCTTTCCTTCTAAAACCCTAAGATTTGTGAACAATAGCTTCCTCTTCTCATCAATAAAAATCTTTTCAAGATCCTGCTTCTCAAACCACCATCCCTGTTTCATCATACGTTCCTGTTGAAGAAAACTATGTTGAACCAAAAGGACTCTCCTCACTTATGTCGATAATCCTAAAGTTCTCTGTGAACTTATGGTTGATTTCAAAAGTATGCAAGAAAATGGGTATGATCTTGTTCCTGATATTGAGTTTCAAGGATGGACTAGTTAAAGTATCAAAACTCCAAGACTTGTCAAAGAATTCTGGATTCATGCAAAAGTATCAAATCTCCAAGTTAGCTCGTCTGTAATGGGGAAGAAAATAGTCATCATTGAGAATCTCATCGCAACACTCAGTGGGCATGATGAAACTGGAGTAAAGTGCATTGACATGGCAGAAAAAGGATATGATTTGAACAAAGTTTCTCAGGATATTTTTACTACTGGAAAACCCTCCAACAAAATCAAAGATCTGAAAGACTATCTCAGAATCTGGGCTAGAATCATTTTGGAGTGTATCAACCACAGGAAACTAACAAGTTCTCCAGATTACATCAACATTGATCAACAACATTTATTGTATTTCATTGCAACCAAGGTAAAAATCAACCTCCCTCACATTCTATTTAATCATCTGAAGACCATTGTCAAAGAAACAAGATAAGAAGAAAAATCCAAAAGAGATTGGATTCCCCTAGGAAGGCTGATCTCAGATGTTCTAACAGAAAACAAGCTTATAGAACATCTGAGTGAAGCTCATCAAGTTAGTGAGATGGAAACCTACATTGGAAAAACCCTCAACGCCAAAGACCTCAAGAAGATGAAGATCATTGATGCAATCAAGAAGGGGCCGGGGGGATGGGTGCCTCCATAATGTCTTGTGACAAGGGACCGTGGGGGTCGTCTTCGTCACTCCTATCAGGCGAGCAAGAAGGGGATCTGGTGTAGTGGCGGTTATGGTGGCCCTGGTCGCGTAGAGCATTCCTCGGGCGGTATGGTTGTTCGTTGTTTCCCTCATTTCTGTCTACATGGGGTCTTCGTTCTTGACGCGAGGGCACGTGATCATGTCTCCCCGTGTCAACGGGCTATTCCCTCTCTAATGCGGGACGTCGCCCGATTGGCCAGGGAGAAGGACTTCGAGAGACGTCCCGACTACGTCTCCGCGGGGAGATCGGGGATGTTCCTCTACTTAGCAAGGAGGAAGAGACTGGGTCCTCCTGTGTCTTCTGGGGGATCTCTGAGCATCTTCGAGCGTCCTCAATCTCTCTCCTTGAGAAAAGATTAAGTAATTGGTCTGATTGATCGCCGCAAACAGTGCCCTAGTCGTGGCATCTGCTCCGGCGGGAACAGAGACCTCATGGAACTGGATGGGTTGGTAGTTCTGGGGAGGTGGTCGATCGTCTTCAAGTCGTGGAGGTATTGATGATGACGAGGTAGTTGCTCCGTCTCTATAGTCAGAAGGCCCGGGCATATTACTGATGGGGGCCGTGTTATGGCCAGTATTGTCGATGTCGGGATTGTCGACGACGTTGTTGTTAGCATCGGTGATGCGGATGTTCAAGTTGTTTTCTGCAGTCTAATCAGCCATGACAGTCGGGAGTGATTTAGCTTTAGTCTTGAGTAAACAGAAGACGGGGAAGCAAGTTTCCCACAGACGGTTCCACTGGTCGTACCTGACCGTACCGTCACAGCTAACTCGGGCAAAAGTTGAGAGTGAAGTGGAGGGGGTACCTGCAAGATACTCTGATGCCAAAATAAGTTCGGGAATGAGCAAGCAAGTATGAGAGTTTAGAAAATATTGAATACCCGACTCTCTCGAAAGAGATGATATTTATAACCCTCAGCGCTGGACCAAAGTCTCTTTATTGGGATGATCAAGCAGGCCCAACATAGAGACTGTCAGGTTCTACGTGAGTAGTGGGGACCCCCACGTGGTCCCTTACCTGGATGACGTCCTCCGCAAGGTCAGGAGGATATGGATGCGATCTTTCTGGGACCACGAAGACTCTGCAATATCCGGAGACGTTGGTAGTCAGCCCTACGAGGCACATGCTCGGGAGGAGCGTCTGCTCGTCATGGGTGATCCCCGCCAGACACGAGCTCGATAGGGGACCAGTCTTAGTCGACGAGCTAGTTGAGGTGTCCTCGAAGCCTTCATGGTCAGGGCTTGAGTGTCCTTGGTCTATTCGGGCGTTGTCCCTGTGTGGTGAGGTTATCTCCTCTCGGGAAAAGGTTAGTAGTTGCACGCCGTGTTCGAGGGTAGTATCAGTTACCGGTGTAGGTTGGTACACTTGGATTGGGCCTCACTGGGAGTTGGGCCAAGGGCGGGCCCGGTCCAGAACAATAACTTTACCCATGTGCATATAACTTTACCCCTTGGTTTTTATCAAGGTGTTAAGTGACAATTTTTCATGACGCCTTTCGTTACCTCGCTTCATTAGCCGAGGTAAAACGGATTTCGCGTCAGACGATAAAAGCGTTTTTTGTAGTTGTGTACAACTAACATTAAACCATTTTAATAAGGAATTACTAGAGAAAATATTACATTAAGAAATCAACCTTGAAGTATTTTAGTTGTGACATTCAAGTTTTGATTAGCTAGTGAGAGTTTAACGCGAATCACTAATGTAGATTGATGAGTTGACAATGTCTTAACCATTGTTATTTTATAAATAGACGACAAAAATTCTTTACTTGATTTTTCATCAAATGGTCATAAATAAATAAAATAAAATAAAATACATTATTTTACCCATCAGTTTTGAGCAAAATCGAGATTATAATTCATAAAAAGATTTAAAAAATGATAAAAAGTAATAAAATATACCGAAATTCAAAGACGTGTCCATTAAATATTTTATCTTTCAATTTTTTTAAAAAAAATCGAGATAATAAATTATAAAAAATAAAAGATATTAAAATATAATCGCTGAAATTTGAATGCATGTTATATAATATTTATAAAAAAAAATTAAAATATAACACGTCTATAATTTATCTCAATTTTTTTATTAGCTGAGGTGAAAATTTCTTCATAAAATTTATTACTCGTCGAAGTGAATATAACTTCTTTTTTTTCAAACATTAAAAAAGAATCCATATCTGGCTAACATCCATGTATGACTAATTTAGATACACATGCTTAGCCATAGTGCAGTCATAATTATAAGATACGTTTTTGTTCCTTTCCAATAACGTATATGTTTTATGCATATCAAGGCTATGACCTCCTCCATAGCAAGAAACTCTCAGCCACACCATTTGGGTGATAAATATATACATATACGTGTCTCTTATTGTACGGATATATGTATGCCATTTTCTGAACTTAGTTTATTTTATAGTACATATGCTTAATCTAGACCAACATGTCTTTTTATAAACAAGCTATATTAAAGTTCACCTTACATGTATATAGTATGAGAAGTGATCAAATTTATTAGAAAAGTAATTTTAAGTTTATTTTGTTTAATAATTTATTAGAGATATTAGATTTTGTCAATTCATCCTTCAAATAAAAAATTTAAAAGTGTAAAAAAAAGTTAAATTTCATGAGTTTTTATAAAATAAAAAGTTAAAATTATTCAATACTTTATATTAATATATATAGGCACATATATATATATATATATATATATATATATATATATATATATATATATATATATATATATATATATATATATATATATATATATATATATATATATATATATATATATATATATATATATATGCTTATATCAATAGGAGTTCTTGGACACATAAACTGAGTTTAAGTTATCCTTTCACAAACGAAATTATGAGTGACTCAAAGTGTGCAACCACTGCAAACAATGGTCAGTATGTATATGCAGGTACCAGTTCAAGTTTAACAACCATCATGTTTTTTTTTTCTCTCTCTCTCACAAACACACAAATATTTATGTTTTTTTTTTTCTTTCTGTGTGTGTTTTGTTTTTAACTAATCTGTTGCAAATCTATATTTGTTTCTGCTTCAGATAAAATGAAACGCGAGACTAAGCTGGAATTCTCCCCGGAAGAAGAAGATATAGTTGCAAAAATGTTTAGATTGGTTGGAAAAAGGTTAAGTTTTTTATGGCATATCAGAAATAGTGCGATAGTGTACACAATTGTAGTCCTTAACTCATCAAAAATATTTGACATGTTAAATGTATGTAGATGGCATCTCATTGCTGGAAGGATTCCAGGAAGAAGCGCAGAAGATATTGAAAAATATTGGAATTCAAAGTTTTCTTCTTCAACTGCATAAGTACCATTCTAAGTTCCTTTTACTTTTAACAATTATTATGTATCTTATGTATTTACTGTATCACAGATATGGTGTAATAAAGATTAGTTAAGTGCTTATTTTTTTGGGTCTGTGAATAAGTTTTTTTTTTAACCCAGCGGCTTTTGGGGAAAATGGCCTTGCCCTTGATAGGTTTAGAGTTTAATTCAAGATAAATAGAATTTGATTATACACAAAAAAAAATTATAAAAAGATATTGATAATTCAGATCAACTTGTATCATTTGATCTTTCCTCGTAGATAAAACTTCTTTTTAAGTGGCTCACAAATGGTACTTGCATAAATATACGTACGTAGGACCTTGCAATATATTGTGTTCGGACTTCAAACATATTTTTTAAGATCCAAAATTTATTAGATTGCACCAATTTATATTATTTCTTATCTCATGACAAATTTTGTAAGAATGAGGAATACATAATGATATTGGAGAGTAAAAATCATAAATTAACATAAAGTTGGAGACAAATAGTGTCATAAAGTCCTACAAAATATAAATTTATCTATGTACACACACTGAACTAAAATAAACCCGACCTTCCTTAGAAAAAACAAAGAATCCAAAATAGATAATTTCAAAACACAAAAATCCTATAAAAATGTTAAATTATAATTCGATTGTGTTGAAATAGTACGCGTTGAAGGGAGGTTGCATAATCGAAGAGTTTGTGGATCGAAACAAGTTACACACGGATTTGATTGATTTTAGATTTAGATAAAATTGATTTAGATCTAAAATAGATGAATTTGATTTAGTAATATTTTGAGCGTTTATAGTTTTGGACTTTGCCTTAGTAAACAAGCTAACCTAAATCTATAAATAGAGGGAGTAACCCCTAATTTTATAATTAAGTCAATGATAAGTGCATTTTGATGCACATTTTTCCATGATTGTACTTATGCATTTCCATGGTTTGTTTAACTTATTTTTGTATTTTATAGTGTTTTTCTACTTTAGTTTATTTCTACTCTTATTTGATTTTCACACTTTATTTTCAACATTAACAGTCTGTACGAATAAATTCATAACTTGAGCTACGAGAGTCAGAATGAGACGTGCTACCAGTCGTTGGAAAGCTAAGAGAAAGAGCTACAATTTTCATTCAGAAGTAGAGAGCTGAATCAGACTGTAGCAGGGCCATAAAATTCGTTGAAGTTGCAGCATTTTATATTTAAATTTTGAATCATTTATTTTAGGCCTAGGTTATGTTTTCGACCCAGTTGGGTTATGAACCGAATCCTTGTCCTTCCTATACCTAGCAGTCGCTACAGTAATTTCGGGGGGACCTTTTCATTATTCAGAAAAAAAATACATTTTGCTTTTACACTTGAATGAAGAACTAATCATCCAGAGTTGATCTACTGTAATCGTGTTCCAATGTTTTGAGGTTTTTAACTTATCAATTCAATTTCATTTCTCTTTCAATTCTATTTTATGAAATTGCATTTGCTTAATTTTTTATTTCATGGAATGTCTTGATTAAATTCGTATGATTGTATTCCTAATCTTTAATCGTTGTTTACGTCGCTTAGTCGTTAAATCGCGTTTTATATCGTGTTTGCTTAATTCACGATTGTATTGATCCGTTTGCTTAATTCGGAATGGGAATTCAATTTATTTTATATCTATTGCGCTTGTCAAATGGTATTGAAATCGAATAGAGGTCGAAGCCGCTTAGGGAATTGGTAAGGTAAAAACCAATGATTAGTAGGAACCTGAAAACAGTAGATCGACTTATTTTTATAATCACTTATTTCGTGTTATGAATCAATCCTAAAACAACCCCCCATTAGATTTCTATTAGTTAATAATAAAATCAAGAATCTTTGCAATACAACTCGAGCCATTGTCACTATACTGCATTTTACAAAATACTCGTTTTTGATCCGTCTGCGACAACGGATCAAAATTGGCGCTGTTGCCGGGATTCTTGTTGTTATTAATTAATATTTTAGTCATATGTATAGTGTTCTTGCTTTTTTTTCTTGTTTTTTTCGTTGTGTTTGTTGATTTTCAGGGTTGCAATTTCAGTTGCAGTACAGTTTTTCAGCCTAGCAGGTATGTTTGAAACCTACTGTTTCGATTTGCTCCAAATTTTTTCGTGAAGTTCAAAAAAAAAATCGACGAACAGTACTCCTTTAGAATAAAATTCTAAAAGATTTCGGCCCTCAAAATCGCAAATTCATCTTTTTTCTATTTTTAACGAATTTTTTACTGTTTTCATAGAGTCGAAAAAAATCGAAAAAATTCTCAAAATTGTTATTTTTCCTAATTAGATTAAATCTGGTGTTATTTTATTTTTCTAAATTTTATTTAATCGATTTCCTTCATTGTGTTTGTTTTTTATTATTAGGGACATTGTTGGCATTTTGAACATTGTTGCTGCATTGCTGTGTATTAGTCCTGGCCACTAGGTCTTGCTGTTCTGGATTTGTTGCTTTGGATCCTGAAGTAGAGAAAACCTTGCACACACGGTGTAGAAAAGTCCAGGCTACCACTAGTTCACCACCCATAATTGAGTCTGACTATTTGCGTAACTTGTTTGCTTCGAATTCTGAATTTGTTTTTGATATGGCTGACCAAAGAACCTTAAGGCAATTGGTTGCCCCTGATGTGAATTATAATGGTATGTATATTGAATATGATAATGTTGTTGTTCCTTTTGAATTAAAATCGGGTTTAATACACTTGTTGCCCAAGTTTAATGGTCTTGCAGGTGAGGATCCACACAAACATTTGAAAGAATTTCAGGTCGTGTGTTCTACACCATTGAAGCCTGAAGGGATCACTGAAGATCACATCAAACTTCGAGCTTTTCCTTTTTCATTACAGGGTGCGACAAATGATTGGATATACTATCTTGAGCCAAATTCAATCGCAAGCTGGAATGCTCTGAAAAAAGTGTTCTTGGAGAGATATTTTCCTACCTCTAGAGCTGCCTCAATAAGAAAGGATATTTGTGGTATTAGACAAGGCAATGAGTCGTTGATTGAGTATTGGGAGAGATTCAAACACTTGGTAACTAGCTGTCCTCAACACCAGATTACCGAGCAACTACTTATCCAGTACTTTTATGAAGGTTTGTTACCGATGGATAAGAACATTCTTGATGCTGCTAGTGGTGGAGCACTTGTCGATAAAACTTCAGCTGCTGCCAAAGCCCTTATTGAAAATATGTCTCTTAATTCTCAATAGTTTACCACTAGAGATAATTATGTTCAAAGCAAAGGCGTGGATCAAATTCAGGTTTCTTCCAACAAAGCTTTAGAGACCAGAATTGACGAGCTCACTGCCTTAGTCAAACAGCTGGCAGTAGCAAAACCTCAAACAGAAAATGTGTGTGGTATTCGTACTTCTCATGAGCATCCGACCGATACCTGTCCTATTATGAGATACGAGTCCATTACTGAGCTTCCTCAAGCTTATGCAGCCAACCTTTACAATCAAAACAGGTACAACAACACTCCTGACCTGTCCACAAACAAACACCATTCCAATTGGAGGAACCATCCCAACCTTCGATATGTAAATCCACAAACCAGCCAACAATAAAACCCATCCCAAGTGGCTATCCCTGCACCTTCGGGAACATCCTTAGAGGATCTTGTCAAACAAATGGTTGTCAATAACCTTCAGTTCCAACAAATGACCGATTCTAGCATTCAGACCTTGCACACACATATGGGACAGCTTGCTACTCAAATAAACGCCATGCAATCCCAAGGGTCAAACCAACTTCCAGCCCAAACAGTTGTCAATCTGAATGGTCCTAATGCTAATGTCAGTGCAATTTCTTTGAGATCTTGAAAGGTTACAGAACCAGCCCCTGAAAAAAATAAAAAAAATTATTGAGGTAACATCTGAACCTTCTCCTTCTGAATCTGTTTCACCTGAACTTTCCTCACCTTCTTCTGTTGCGGTGGAAACTGAAAAATTAAAGAAAAGGAGTATGCTCCACCAGTTCCCTTCCCACATAGAGTTATAAAAAATAAAAGAATTGAGGAGGGAGAGAAAGAAAGAGAGATATTGGATGTTTTTCAAAAAGTCGCGGTAAACATTCTGCTTCTTGATGTAATTAAGCAGGTTCCTAAGTATGCTAAGTTTCTGAAGGATTTGTGTACCAACAAGAGGTGGATTAAAGGAAGTGAAAGAGTCAACTTAGGAAGAAATATTTCTGCTTTTATTCAGCCTAAACCTTCATTCGAAAAGGTTGTAGGAGAGCAAAATGTTCCAACCCTCCCTACTCAGGTTCTGCCACAAAAGCAGAAGGATCCAGGAACATTTGTTATTCCTTGCACCATCGGGAACAGTAAATTTGAGAATTGCATACTTGATTTGGGAGCGGGCATTAATGTGATGCCTACTTCTGTTTATAATAACCTTTGTCTTGGTCCTTTGCAGCATACAGGTTTAATCATTCAATTGGCGAACAGGAGCAACACTCGCCCCGCCGGCGTAGTCGAAGATGTCCTTGTTCAAGTTAAAGATTTGATTTTTCCTGCTGATTTTTATATTCTAGACATGGAAGGAGAAACAAAATCCAGCAGAGCTCCCATCATTTTAGGCAGACCATTCATGAAAACGGAAAAAACAAAAATTGATGTTGACGATGGAACCATGTCCATGGAATTTGGTGACATTATCGCAAAATTCAACATTTTTGATGCCATGAAACATCCCCTGGAGGAGAATTCCATTTTTCACATTGAGTTGATCTCTAGATTGGCTGATGACACTTGTTCTGAATTATTTTCCATTGATTTTCCGTCTTTATCTGGATTTGATGATGTTTACGTGTGTTCTGATTGTACTGACAATAACTTGTGTGTTGTGTGTGCTGAGATTGATGTTGCCTTGCAGGCTGATGTGTTTTCTACAGGTGAAGTTGTTATTGATGAATCTGTTTTTGCAGCTGATGCCCTTGACATCCTTGCTGCCCCAAACACTCCACCCATAGAGC